GTTTTTTAGAAAAACTACATATGCTAATTGTATTGCAAAGCTGTTACAAACATTTTCTATAATAGTGTTACTCTTCATAAACAGAAAAAAAGTCCCTCGCAAACAGATATCTTAAAGGTGTTTCTTTCTCTAATTGATTCGGGCAGAAAGCATTGATAAAATCAAAGGATGTTTAATTCAATGACAAAATCTGGGATTAAAGGAATGATTTCGGCGCACAATGTCTTGTGCAAAGTAGAAATAAAGAGGTGATTTGTATGTTTTATAAAATGGAGCAATTCAGGTAAAACACTGGTCTTGCGTAGGCTTCTTTTTTAAGAGAAAAGATTAACGGAATTGGTTACATGCATCCAAAATGTCTTCAATATCTCGCCGGTTATATTTTTCTTAAGATTGCTTCAATTATCGGCTGTTTGGAGTTGAGAAGTGAAATCATTTCGTAATTCCCTTTATGCTCATGTATGCCTACAGTTGCAATACAATTAAACAAAACTTATGATAAAGCAACAGTTAGATAGTTAAGATTCCCTATACACAATTTTTAAAACAAACTACACGATCATCTTCCTATCAAGATACAAATTTTTACAAAAAGACGAGATGTTGCTATGTGTATGATTTAGACTGGATGGAAAAACCAAAAAATAATAACTGATGTAAAACTGAAAATTAAACGACATAACAATTTACAAGTTGAATGTTAAATGTCTTTACGAGTCCCATTAAGAGCTGGAGATTCTGCACCTGAAGCCGAAACAAATTTCTTTTTATTCTCTAAAAAAGCAGACCTGACCCAATAGCTTTTATCTTTTTCAACGTTCTGAGTTCATCAAGATAAATACAAAAACTGTTTCTTAGAAACTCAAGGTCTTTTTAGAGAAGAATAATTTCAGCTTTTTCGGTAGCATAATTGTATGTCATGACACAAATGTTAGGCTACCTTGATAATGACTCGCTGAAACAGCATATCAACATTTGATTGAAAATTCTACATTGAAACCTCTATTCTTTGTTCGTGCAGGATCCCCCTAGTAATTTACTCATGTTACTCTACTTTTCTACCTGCAAAACTTTCGTTCTGGCGTCAGTTAAAAGTGGTAACAATGTCACCAAGTGCATAGTTCGCAACAATGCTGTGTTAGTAGATAAATCGAATAGCTAGGCTCGAGGTTAACGTTATAAGAAGTGGATGTAATGATATGTCTGTCTCTTTAATGGATAGGTCTTATCTTCAAAGAAGCTCTCTATGTATTTTTAATGCATTTTTATGGAATGGTCGGTAAAGAAGTCAGCGTATGCCTGCCTTGGAAGAACTGGAGAACGATATTTAAATACGAAACAACCCATTTTATAATGGGAACCTTTAGAAAAATGGCCGAGCACTACGCTAATGCATTTTCCGAAAAGGGGAGCCTGGAAAAGCTTTGTTTAGAATTTACCAACACAGGTTAATTCAGATTAAGCTTGTTATGTCCAACATTTACATTATACACAGTAAAAGCCACGCTTTTGAAGTGTGTACATCATCACGTGAAAGTGGTTGATTTCTTGTTCACATAGCAACCATCTAGAGCTCATACTGATTCTTGATAGCCAGGGTTTGTTGGTACTAGAATGAATGTCATTTGTTAGTCTGAGCTGAAAATTAATTTTGATCAACGTAGGTAAGTGCTTAGAGTGGCTTTGTCACTAACGGTGGTTTACATATTACTTTTACTGTGCCATTATTCTTTTTAACTGTGCCATAGTTTTTCGTTCAACAGTGCCCTTTATTTCATTTTGAAGAAAAGTTCTTAAGATGAAAAAAAATTGTTTCAGTTGGAATAATCCAGTTGGTCTATCTACAAACTAATCCAGTGAAAATCCACTGGTGTCCTCGTTTGCAATTTGGTGCCCTCACCTTGCTTCGAATGTAGCTCAACAGCATAATCATTTGGATCTACAGTCGGATCCAGCTTCGTGTGTTTTCGGAAAACAAAGTAGTACACCAGACCCGTTATTTTTGCAATCAAGAATAGCAGTTTAACAAAGGGTGGCTGCGCATGGGTGATATTCGAATTTCATAGCAGCGACCAGTCACGCTTTCGTCAAGCCGAAAGCAAAAGGCTTTTGTTGGCCGCACACGAGAAGCAAAGTGCCACGAGTAGAAAAAATTATCAAATTTTTTTCTTATTTTAACTTTTTGTTATGAATGAATAAATCCTCTCAAATTTTATAAATTATCATTGATAGCATTTGGCTAAGCAAAATGCTGTAGTGTGCTTTAAGATATTTCGTAAAAAATAAGTGCTTCTCATCCTGTTCTGATATATTTAGGAACTTGTACTTTTTGAAACTTTTCCATTGTTCATTAGATATTGTGAATTAAAACATTTTTTACATTTTATTTTCAACCAATAATTAACATTGTAGCCTTTTAAGTAATCATTTAAGTTTTATGCCGTTTCGCTGTGTTGAAGTTGATTTGGGGTGAATTCGAACTATATGTTTTTGCATTATTGCATAAAATTTTTTTCTGTACCAATTGTATTTTGTATTTGTGCGACTGAACTTTATTTGTGCGATTGAATTTTTTCTCAAGCTATGAAATTATATTTGTAAGTTGCAGTTGTGAGTCACCATACATACCTAATGGTAGTCTTCAAAGACCGTGACGTAACCAGTTCGACGTATGGCGCATGCAATGTAGCTGGTGTCACTTAAAGTTATTATCTGTGACAGTGTTACTGCACCAGATTCATCCCATGTCTTTGTTGTTGGATCCCACAGCTTGCACTGCAGAAACACGAAAATGAGTCAAGGTATTGATAAAGAACGTTAGTTGCAATAAAAGATCTTAAAGCCAGAACTACCAATAATGGTATCAGATAATTAAGTTTTCAAGGGCCTAAAATCTGGAATTCACTCTCGTAATCAATAAAGACAGCACAAAATACTAGACAATTTAAGAATTTGATCAAAACTTGGTTCCTTGAAAACAAATGCGCATGCTCGTTTTGCAGTAAATGAACTTTCTTATACAATCCTTGAAATTGCTTCATGTTAGTCTTAATTAGTGTATATTCACTATTGTAAAAACTAACGTTAAATAATCTACAATACAATAAAAAGAGGGATGAATAAAGGTCAGCAAAGTGAGTGACTGCCGTCAAAGGTTTGAGACATCATCCCAGAGATACGTGGATTGGCAAACTGGTTGCCAAAGTGTTTGGTGCTCATTAATTTATTTGACTCAAGGCAAACCTTCAAATTGGCATTCGACAAGAAACGAGAACTTTAAGTCAGCTCTGATTAAGAAAAATCTCTGATGTTCATCGACAAATGGCGAAGGTTATACCGAGGGGCAATTCACTCTTGAAAATAGCGAACGAGATTTTCCCTAAAACAAAAGGATTTCTGGGGATTGTCAGATAAAACAATAGGATTTTCACAAAAGGTGTACGAGATTTTCTTGGAGTGATTTGCTCCTCGGGTTATACACTTGAAATGGATAAAAACACAGCTAATCTGTCAAATCCGGTCTGGAAACGAAAGCCTTGCTAGGCTCACTGCCTTACCCAATGAAGACGTTCCAACTTACCTGACCTGACTTACCAACTTGGTGGTAGTATAAGATGCAGTAACTTACCACGTATGTAGCCAGTGTTGTAGTCTGGAGAGGCATCTTAACAATCATTGGGTTTGCAAGTGCCGAAGGAGTTAGCTCTTCAGCTGCATACATTTCGTCAGGATTCCAAAGTTGAATGAGAAGAACATCACTGAGACGTTTTGAAACAGGAGGAGTGGACAGGTAATCCAGCGGCATCTATGTTGAAAAAATTACACATGAGGATACTAATGAAGGCTAAAAAGTGGTATGGTACGTAAGTCAATACACAAAAAACATGTCATCTTTGATGCCACGACAATGATCTAATGAATTGTGCTTCTTTGTTTGTCTTTCCTATCTTGAATCAAACCTTTAAGCTACCATATTCACCACTAAAGATTAGCTGGTAAGAATTTTTTATCATTAACTACGTTAGGAGACATTAACGTAAGAATTTGTTGTTGTCAATAACAAAGTAAAGAGATATGAACATCAATTCTGGGACCGTACACCAGTCAAGATGTGAGAGGGCTAAAAGGGCCACACCCTCTAGAACGTTGGAAAATCCCTCTTTTAGAAAATTTTTGTTTCATTTCTACTGAAGCTATATAAACAGTCTGGTTCAGAGAAGACATCAATAGCTATAAAAATACATAAAATTAGCTTGGAGATAATAAAACATCAAGGAAAACACCTAGAAAATAAACAAAAAGGTTCCCAGTCAAGAAAAACTGCTACTACTTAGGAGTATACTTTCCAATGTTGTGTTAGAGCATAGTTAGAGTAAACTTCCCAAAAAATGTTCCAACCTATTATTTCAAAAACGGGGAGGGACTATAGCCCCAATTAGTCCAATGGCTGCGCGGTGCCTGCATCAATTTTTGGTTGACAAACAGCAAGAATGTACACATAAATAAAGAAATAAACTTCAAATGTTGTCCTTGCTTTCGAAATGAACTTAGTTCTTGTTCAGAAACGAGATTGTATACATACAGCTTGCAAGCAAAACTGGATACTATCAATAAAATGATATAACAATTATCCAAGATTAATAAAAAAAATTCAAGACATAAATTAGTCTGAGCAAAACTTCTTATCTCTAGTCACTTCTTACCAAGAAATCCTTTTACCAATCTCAACCTTTTTATCAACCTAAAATCAAATGCTAGCAAAAGCTGAACTTGCACAGTTTGTGTCAAGTTTAAATTTGAGTTTTGAAAATGTCAAAGAAGAAGTCCGGCATAATCGATGCCGAAAACGAGGACATTAATTGAAGAACCCTCTTTTTGAAGAGCATAGAAATACTTATCTTTTTGCTAAAAATCACACGGTTTTTCTTTTTGATACATGTAGTTCAAAATGATCATAAGCATTAGATAATAACATTGTATTAGGAGAGTCATGTTTTACGAATGTCATACTGTAAAAGCTTTATCAAGCCTCTATCAAGCTTTATCAAGCCTCTATCAAGCTTTATCAAGCCTCTATCAAGCTTTATCAAGCCTCTATCAAGCTTTATCAAGCCTCTATCAAGCTTTATCAAGCCTCTATCAAGCTTTATCAAGCCTCTATCAAGCTTTATCAAGCCTCTATCAAGCTTTATCAAGCCTCTATCAAGCTTTATCAAGCCTCTATCAAGCTTTATCAAGCCTCTATCAAGCTTTATCAAGCCTCTATCAAGCTTTATCAAGCCTCTATCAAGCTTTATCAAGCCTCTATCAAGCTTTATCAAGCCTCTATCAAGCTTTATCAAGCCTCTATCAAGCTTTATCAAGCCTCTATCAAGCTTTATCAAGCCTCTATCAAGCTCCTCTCTTTAGCTCCTGATGTCAAACAAAGAAAGTGCTAAATGTGAGAATTTAGTGGAAATTGATAATGCTTCCGCTTCCAGTTTCTAATTTCATACGATTAAGAGTCAAGGTTTTCTCACTTAGTTGTGCTTTTACTGTCTCTAGACACCTTCACAGTGGACACAATGCTGGGTATGTTCTTGAGGGCATTATAATTGATCAATTTTGAAGCTGCTAGCAAAGCTTTTTGAGAACATTTGTATGATATCCTGGTAACAAAAAATGCATAAGAACATTTTTTTGACACTTTAAAATTTGATTTATTAATAAGCCCCCTTCTTTCTAATTAGCCCCTTCTCTAATAAGTCCAATCCTCTCTAATTAGCCTCTTATTCTTTTAAGACCCCTTAAAGCACTAAAAAAATAAATAAACTTCCCCAGGCTTAATAGAGCTTTTACAGGATGCCAATTTATTAGCGTTGTTTTCCCATTAGTTCGCTGTCATATCACTGCCGAAATACTGCAGAAAATGCTGACTCTACTAACCTGAGCGGATGCAATACAAGCTCCTGCGCAATTTTTACCATTAGGGTTGCAAACAAATGAAGAATATCGGTCAATTAGCGTCTGTCCGAGCTGCAAGTAAGAGGCGTTTTTAATCATACTCGTGCAGTCAGTGCATCCCAGTTGAATCTCACTGTTACCGGTTGAACCAAAATCAACTTTGAAAGTTTGGAGAACGGCAGTCGTAGTTTTGGCCACGGAAGGAGGTACATTGAACAGAGAGTTTCTGCACATGCCTTTGAGGAGGCTGGGCAAGAAGATGAGAAAGTTATTCTTTGCGGTTAGAGTGTCATCATCTGTTTTATCTGGATCAAGGGTATGGAATGGTTCTAGGTAGGTTTGTGCCTATAAGAGATTAAAAAATAATTATAGCTAAAAAAACAAATTTGACGAAGCGATTTCTAAGAAACAGTCTCCTATAACTGTTAATTCAAATCACAAAAAGTGACTTCAACCTTTCCTGCTATTTGGGAAATCATTTCATGGCAATTAAGGGACGGGAGGAAAACAATTTTTGCCAAGCACGAAAACCCTATAAACTTGTGCACAGCAAGTGATTACTGTTGTGAAAGGGAAATATTTTTTAGCACATGCTATCATAAAATAAAAACTTAAAACAATTTTTTTGCAAAATGAGTAGTAAAAGCACAATATCTGGAGGGGCTAAATAAATTATTGCGCGTAAGGCCTGCGTACCTAACGCCCTATTCACACGATACTAGATACACTTTTGTATCGAATTTTAACCCATTCCGATACGGAATTTAGTCCTGTTCACACGATACCGGTTCACACGATATTCACAAGACAATGCCACGCTCCGGGTTGTGAACCATAAATTATTGTTAAAAATGTTTCTACGTCTACATAAAAATCGCTTTGAGGTCGTGCGAAAAGAACGCCTATGCGGTAGCAAAAGCGACGCGATACAAAATGAATCCGCTATCGTGTAGACAGAACAGTTACACAGGGCACAAGGGTCTTAAGTTTGGAAACCCTTGTCTTGTAGCTTCTCCGCAACTTCCCTTTTAAGCAGTGGCGAATCTAGCTTTACCAGAATCTGCACTTAAATATCTACAATATACATTAACTACAAAAAACTTCGTCGTGACATAATTTCGGACAAATATTTTGACAAAATTTTCTTTGACTAAATTCAAAATGAGACGAAATTTTGTCACTACGAAATTCGTGCATTCAAGAGTTTTGAGAATTCGCATAGAAAAATTACACGAGGTTAGGAATCAAAATTATGTATCCTTCTGATCTATTCAATATCTAACTCGGTGGCGTAGCTAGGGGCGGACGCCATCCCTAATCGCAAAAAATCTCGTTGGTTTGATTGAAAAAGGCTTTATCTTTGGTCCAAAGGGGTGAGGACCCCAATATTCCATGCTCAACTTGCCTTGCCCAACCCCTCCTCTCAACCTTACCACCCTGGCTACACTACTGTTCTAATTGTGTTCTGTTCTAACTGTATTCTAACTGTGTTCTGTTCTAATTGGCTACACTTCTACTCTAACTTTACTCCACTGTGCTATTTCTTTCATTCGTTCAAGGTTCTGCACTTTTCAACCAAGATTTTGAATTCTACAAAACGCACAATTTAGAGACCAACTTTTCCTGTTGGATATGGTCTTTTGCTATCCGAATCTTATACCTAAATTTAAACTTATACTTTTAATTATACTCTTTTCATATAAACTTTCATTTCTTAAAGATTTAGGTTAGAGACTCCGGTACCTATGGGATTGAATATAAAGCTACCTGTGTGACTTTGCCTCTGAAAATTTGGCAATATGTTGTGGTTTGTCTTGTTTGCTACCTAGCTTCCAAAGGTAGTTTTTAGGACACTGAGAAGCTAATGCTTATTGAACAGTGTCCTGGTCCTTTCTCTCGATGTGACCACACCTCATGATTCCTACGCCTGGAATTACAGAGAGCTAGCGACTCTCCTCACTCTGGGTGAAAGTTTGGTCATGCCAGGGACTCGAACCACAGACCCTTGGGTCTCTAGTCAGCGCCTCTAACAACTGAACCATCCTCGCACAATGTTGTATTTTTTTGTCAAATATCCACGACGAAATGCTGAAAAGTTGTCCGAATGTTTCATCGACGAAGTTCTACGAAATTTTGACGAAATTTTTTGTTGTTAATGTACGTAGATTTAGGCCCAATGAAGATTCCAGAGAATAATTGCTTATTTGAATCATTATGCCCAATGGTTTCATCTGTTTTTACTTTGACATGACCACGACATGACAATGGTCAAGGTGTAACAAATTTCAGGAACACGTCAGAGAATAATGCATAAATATTAGAATATCAGCATAAGAGCCATACTACTAAAAATAAAAGGCTAATTAGCTTTGAAAATTGATCGTCAAAATATCAAGATAAAACTAGGGTGGCCATGCAAAGGGCTAGAAAAAACTCTTGATGGGTCATGCCCCCATAGTCCGCCCTAGAAATTCCACTGCCTTTGAGTTAGTCACATGTCTTCTTAACCGTTAAAAGTATTAATAAATTTACCTCTGACCCTGTTATCGGTGTTACTTGCGCTGGTGTTACAGATCTTTTTAAACGTGAAGTTGTCATTGCAGTAGCAACGAACTGTAAAAAGATTTTTGACATAGTCTTAACCATTCTAGGAGGCGCGTTCTTCTTTGTCATTCCCTTGAAACAGGATTGAACTGAATTAGCGACGACCGTCCTCTCCATGCTTGATTTCATACTGAATGTATTTTTACTAACCTAAAAAAGGAAACGTTTCTTATTAGTATTTTTGTATACTAGTAGCACAAAAATAGAAAAATAGAATTCTACGAAAACCTATGTTAAGAAACCAAAAAAACTTTGGACTTCTCTGCAGTAATAATTGTTAAGCCTTTGATAACTCTTCAATAATCTTCAAGAGCAGAAATGGAACCATAAAATAAATCAGTTTCCCATTAAACATACTCTTTGTTTCATTCAGTAAATAAAAATCTTTGATTTGAGTCAATATTTTGGATAGAATTGAATGTGAAAATACTATAGATTAAAACAACTTTATAGCAAAATTTTTAAAAGGAAAAATGTTTTTGCTTGTTTCTTCTTACCACTGTAAGAGCGGCTTCCTTACTGTTTACATCAGCGATATCGTCACTTGATGTTGTTGTTTTTAGTGCTGTTGAAGGTGCGGTTGTAGTGTTTTTGGTTGTGGCAATGGTTGTTGCCGGTCCAGCTGTAGACAGTTCGGTTGTAGCCGGTCCAGCTGTAGACAGTTTGGTTGTAGCCGGTGCAGTTGTTGCCGGTCCAGCTGTAGACAGTTCGGTTGTAGCCGGTGCAGTTGTTGGCGGTCCGGTTGTAGTCGGATATACGATAATGAAACCGGACGTGCTGGCTGTTATGGTCCGATTGTCATATAATTTGATGCTCAGTGAGCCACTCTCAATCAGAGACTAAAAACAAAGAAACCAACTTTTAAAGACGAGATGCTAATGTAAGGTAGGAAATCCTAATGTACATACATTGTCACCTAAAATATTCCATATTTGGTATCATGGAAAACCAGTGTATTAGACAGTATATCGTCAAGACGAGACGAGAAAACAGTTTTCTTGACAATCAAAAACCTGCATTCTTCACATTGACCTTACCTTCAAAAGATGCACAGAGGCAATAACCGATGCAAGGGTGGCGTCAAGACGAGACGAGAAAACAGTTTTCTTGACAATCAAAAACCTGCATTCTTCACATTGACCTTACCTTCAAAAGATGCACAGAGGCAATAACCGATGCAAGGGTGGCATTTGATGCCAAGCCAACGACATCAAACCTGATGATTATGCTTCCACAGGTCGCTTGAAAATTCTCCAATGCTCGCTCTTGTAGATTCATTTTCTTTGCACACTCAGATTTGACTGACTTTTCAAACTTGTCTTTCGTCGATGAGTTAAAGTAGCTTGAGCATGTGAGAGCAAAGGAGAACCGGCACTTGATTCTTGGTTTTCCCGCTGTCGATGCGTTGTTGTTGATGCTGTTGAAGGCATGGTAGGTGGTACTGTTGTTGCTAAGAAAATAACCAATCAAAGCATGAATATTTGAAGGAGCTCAGGATCGGTTTCATGAATCATAAAAATACACATAAAGCCATACAAGGTAACTATGACGACCAAGAAAGGCCTCGCTGGCTACAGTAATCATCATACCGTCAAGATTGGGCTAGACTGCAGTTTAGCAACCCAATTTTTTGTTTTCTGTCAGAAGTTGAATTGAATCGCTACAACCTAATAATAATTACAAAATAATAATAATAATAATAATAATCTCTTTATTTACAGTTGGTTTGAGCAATAGTTAATATACATAGATAATTATGTAAAACTAATAAATACCAACTATTTATATACATACATATTTTACAGTTACATTTGTCTCCATTCCAGGCATGTATGCCGTTTTTAAATTTGGATACGTTGTCCACATTTGTTATCGTATCAGGCAATGTGTTCCAGAGAATGCTCTCCGGGAATGCCAATAAGTTTATTCCAAATGATGTCAATTCCCTCTGTACGAAAAATTTTTTTATGAACGATGGACTTTCGTGATTTAATTATTTTTATATCTCTGTCATTAATTTCTGTAAGTTTTTGGTGTGGATGGCTATTTCATTGTTCTTTGTGAGGAGACATTCAAAGGTGGATTCATAATAAAAAACAGCGCGCGTAGTGCAAGTTTATGTACTCGATTTATCTCCCTATTACATTGCTTTCCACAGAAAATCCAAATGAGAGGACAATAGTTGAAATTTGATAGCAGAAAGGAATTGTATAGTAATTTTCCTTGCCTATATCTAGGGAGTTAGCCACCCTAGCAAAAATTGCTTTCACATTTTGATTTATCTTACGAAATAGAGTTTTGATGTGTTGTTCAAATCTAAGGCCAGCATCGATTGTGACGCCAAAGTTTAGCACTGTCTGATGAGTAGAAGGTATTTCCATTTATTTCAATGCAAATTCTTTTTCAAGTTTGGTTCCAAGGAGCATCATCTGGAACTTAGATGGATTATCTACCATTATGTTTGATTCGAACCATTTTAGAGCTTGACATAGATCTTCTTCTATGTCAATAATAATTCCATCCTAATCACTACCCTAAAGTTAATGGTATTGTCATCTGCAACATTGCAAAAATCTGTATTTTGGATGAAATATATCAAATCATTGACGTAAATGTTAAACAACAAAGAAGCCAAACAGAGCTTTGGGGTACACCTGATACGAAATCGAGCCACTCGGTGAAGGCGGATCCAATTTTTTCTAGCTGAAGACAATTATAGCCTCCAGACAAGTAAAATAGAA